CCCCCCACTCCCACCCAGGGAAGGAGCACATGTGGCCACACACAGCACTGCCATCCGGGGACGCCCACCCGAGCCTGTGGTGTCTGGAGTATTTACTGGGACTCAGTCACATGCCATCCGCCTGGCTGGCCTTTACCGTCCAGTCCCTGCTGCAGGCCAGACCGATCCCCTGTCAGTCAGTCTCACTGTTTACTCTCCGGTGGCCAGATGCCCCAGGCCAGCCAAGCCACTTATCAGGCAGGACATGCCAGGTGGCCTAGAGGTCACCTCCCAGGAGCCGAGGCCAGAGGCCAGACTTCCTTTGGGTAAGGTGAATTCTTCACCGCGCAAGCTTGCAGCCTGGCATGAGAGAAGGCACGGGAGGACGTCACCCCGGGCGTGGAGGTCGGAAGGAGTGGCTGTGCGTGACACCTGCTTTCTTTGGACGTACACACGGCCCCCTGGTCACGGACGCTCTGGTGGTACCAGGCACGGGGCGGTTCACTCACCTGGCTTGTTTCTGGGGTGTTGAACGTGGTTTTCGTGGCTGTCGTGTGCTGGGTGTAGGAGCAGAAACAGCCAGGGTATCGTGCAAAGAACGTTTGCGCTGTTCACGGGTACGGTCTTGACCTCTTCCTTCACCTCAGTCTCCACTGTGGAACGTGTCGCGGAGCCACCTCCAGGGTTGTCGTGAGAATGAACTGTGACCTTAAGTAGGAATCTTCTGTGTGAGGAGCTCAGAACCCTTCCTGAAGACTCAAGAAAGCATGGCGTTTAAAATCCATCCTTTGGGGGCGCCTGGGTGGCTCAGTCCGTGAAGCGTCTGACTTCAGCCTCAGGTCATGATCTTGTGGTTCGTGAGTTCGAGCCCCGCATCGGGCTCTGTGCTGACAGCTTAGAGCCTGGAGGCTGCTTCAGATTGTGTCTCCCTCTCTCTCTGCCCCTCCCCTGCTTGCACTCTGTCCCTGTCTCTCCAAAATGAATAAATGTTTAAAAAAATTAAAAAATAGGGGCGCCTGGGTGGCTCAGTCGGTTGAGCGTCCGACTTCGGCTCAGGTCATGATCTCATGGGTGGTGGGTTCAAGCCCCGTGTTGGGCTCTGTGCCGACAGCTTGGAGCCTGGAGCCTGCTTCGGATTCCGTGTCTCTCCCCCACCCCCCACCCGTCCCGCCCCTGCTCACGTTCTGTCTCTCAAAAACAAATAAACATTAAAAAAAAATAAAATAAAATCCATCCTTTGAAGGCAGTTGTTTGCTCGGGTAACTCTTGGTGCTGGTTTGTACTCAGGCCTTGTACGTTTGGAAAAGCGTTAGGGAAATTACTCCCGAAGTGATGCCCGCCTTCTGCCTTGGTTCTAGGTGAGGCTCCAGGTCGGTCTGTATGCTGTGTACCTTCTGGACTGGCTCACCGTGTTTAATAAAGAACAGTTCCTCGTCCTTCGCCTGGAAGACCACGCCTCCAACGTCAAGTACACCATGCACAGGGTCTTCCAGTTCCTCAACCTCGGTATGAATGTCACGCTGGTGGCCCGGGAGCAGGCATGAGCTCCGTGGACACTGGCTGTCCGCGGTGCTCGCTGAGTCGCAGACAGACTCTGCGCACTGGGCGGTGCCGGGCCGGGCCGGGCGGCTGGTTCAGTACGTGCTTTTCAGGCGCGGGGCCTGGTGCCGGGGTGGGGGGACGGGGTCCTTCATCTGGGAGGTTCCAGCCCAGCAGAGGAAGAGAAGAGGAGGAAGCCACTGGTAGCCGAGTCCCTGGCAGAGAGACGGTTGGTTCGTATACGTGCCTCCAGGGTCCCAGGAGGAATGGTGGAAGGGGTCATGGAAGGAGCCGTCTGCGAACTGAGTCTTTGGGCTGGGCGACATGTCCGAGCATGGCTGGAACGGTCTTGCAGAGGCCACAGGCTCGGAGGAGGGAGTGGACGGGTCATGGCATGCTCTCAGGTTTTGGGGGGCCCCTGGAGTCAGGGCCACGTGGCCACCTTCCTCTAGGAGAGTCCACTGCTGGGTGGCCAGGGTGATGGCTTGTAGGGGTGGGTCTCTGGGCACAGAGGGCTGCCCACGTGGATGGGCACCCAAGGACTGCCAGAGCTCAAGCACTCCCGCAGCCCCATCTAATGATCTGGCCCAGGAATTCTGTTGATGGCATATTCCTTAAAATGTGTTTACCCTCCACTGGCCTCAGAACCCTTTCGTCATAGTGGTAGGAGGGAGTGTGATTGCTTTTTCCTCTGAAGGCCTAGAACCATTTTTCTTGGAGTGGGTCCCTCGTAGACTCTGCTGTGTTGGTGAGCTTGACTTTAGTCTCTGAGATGGACAGCGAGGCCAGTTCTGTTCCTTCTGCTGCACACACCCCAGCGACAGCGGAATATGGTTTTTCTGTGTAAGGGCTCGGGGACTTTGGCCCGATCCCGAGGGCCTGGCACAAAGTGGCCTGAGCAGTGATACAGTTAAGCCAGTGAGGGACTAACCGTCCAGGGGGCAGGGGATAGAGGTGGCTGGCTTGTTCCCAGGCCTCTCCCCACTGATCTTGGTGCAGGTGGAGGTTCAGCTTACAGGGTCTCTGGGCACAGGTGGCCTTCCTGCCCCACCACCCCCACGGCCACGATACGGCACAACACACAGGGTGAAATATGGCCCAGCCACAGGCCCTTTGCATCAGCAGCCTGAAGCAGAAATGACACTGGCAGGACTCCAGCAGGCTGGTTAGTAGGAAAATCTAAGCACATGGACTGTGCCTGCCAGCTCGCACAGTTATCCACGGACACAGGCTGACGGCCACGGGAGCCAGCCCTTTGTGGGTATTTGGCACTGAGACCGGGAGGAGGTGAGGCTCAGGGGAGGCTGCCTCCCAGAGCCGCAGCTGCACTTCTGCGGGCAGGTGTCCAGCCCCAGGCCGGACAGCACCTGCTCCTTCGCGATGGCTCGCTGCCACTTTCCGTCCTCAGCAACTCCAGGACCAGGACGGGTCTGGCCAGAGGACCGAGCGCTCTTGCGGGGAGGGGAACTCCTGGCCCAACACAAAGCACGGCTGGGAGTTTTGCGAAGCTCCTTCCTGCCGCGCCTCCTGCTTCACAGTCTTTTCTTTGTGTTCCAGGACCCCTAGGTGAGAAACAAGAGACCCTGATGACAAAGAGCCCCGCGTCCAACGCGCGACGTCCCGAGGACCGGAACCTGGGCCCCATGTGGCCGGTCACCCAGAAGATCCTGCAGGACTTCTACGGGCCCTTCAACGCCAGGCTGGCCCAGGTGCTCGCCGACGAGGCGTTCGCCTGGAAGAAGACCTGAGGGTCGGGGTCCCCCTGCGGTTTCCACTGTTACCGTGATTTAAAAATCTCTTTGGGGGGCGGGGCCCTCTTCCTCAACAGCGTGGAGAAAACCCCCAGATGATTCTTCTTCCCCTCCCTAGGCACCTGTTCAGTATAACCGTTTGTGGTGTGAAACAACCTGGCAACTGACCCTTCACGGGGCTCCGCCATCCCGGGCCATTGGAAACTCCACTTGGGAACCGTTCCCTCCTGCGGCACAGTGGCCGGGCTGCGGGGTCCAGGTGGGGGTGGGGGGTGGGGCGGGGGGCACCAGGCGGGCTGTGGGGGGGCGGGAAGGAAGCGCGGCTGGGGGCTGACAGTGTGGGATCCGAGTGAGCGCACTGGAGGTCACGTCGCCACGCCGGAGGTCGCGCCATCACGCTAGAGGTCACGCCGCGACACTGTCCGAGTTACACTTCCGTTCGGTCCTGAAACACCGGTCGGGCCGATACCTTCATTTGGGCAGAGCGAGGAGACAGACGCTTCCTTTTTTCTCTTTTACTCCGAGGTCCGCCCTTTCTTCTCTTCAGATCTGAACCTTGTTAACTTCACTTTTACGAAAGAGAACAAAAAGCCCAAGCACGTTCATCTCGGACCCCTCCCATCCTGTCCTGGTGTTACTTATGTTTAACCAGAACACGAATGTTTCAGATGAACCATTCCTGCATTTCACCAGCCGTAGCTCCTTGTCTGCCACTTTTGAGGGCTTCTCGAGAGCTCATGCAGTTTATAATCGGGATACAAGCTCAGCTTATAATTAGAAGGGAAATTTCTGCTTTAATGCCACACTGAGCAACTTCAAGGAATTGAACTCTCTGGGAAATCTAGGTGTCCTGGACCCTCCTCACACACACGAGGTCGTCAGACCTGCAGGGTGTGTGAACTTCTGGCTGTGGCCACAGACGGGCCCCGTCGCTCTGCCCGCCCCCTGGAATCAGCTCCTTGCCCACATTCTCCGCCACGTGTGGCCAGAGGCCCTCCCGGTTTCCGCAAACTACAAGACACGTGTGTCCCGAGGCAGAAACAGCGAGCCACACGTGGGTGTGCTGCGATTCTTCATGGGACTTTCCAGGCCGCTCGACCACTTGGCCCACCAACGGATGGCCTCACGGTCTCGTCGTTTCTTGGAGGTGATGGGGAGAGACTGAAGAGGGGGCTGGAGCCCCAGGTGCGAACTCGGGGAAGCTTCACACCGGAGTGTTTGCAAGGTGAACCAGAACCTTCTGGGCAGGGTCCCCTACACCAGAGTCCGGGAGCGCAAACGTGCAGGTGCCCGGCCATCACGCACAGACGTGAGGATTTGCTCAGCTCTCCAGCCCCGGAGCCGTCACCTCTCTGCCATCAGAGGTGGGAGGCACAGCCCTCCGGGAGGCGCGGGGAGGGCCTTCCGTCCGCACTGGCACGGCCGAGCTGTTTCTGCTGCTGAAGACCCGCTTTCTGGGACAGCAACCCCCCGCCCCCATCTCTCACGGCCGGCCGGCGCTCGGAGCAGCGGCCGGCAGGGAGTCTGGCCGGAGCACAAGGGAGCTGCGGGGAGATCTCACTTTCAGCGTGTGTGTGTATTTATTCGCAGTGGGGGGTGATGTGTGCGCGTGCGTGGGTCCGTTCTCTGAGTGGGTTCCCTTCCTGTTGTGTCGCTGATGAGGCTCCCCTGCCCTGGACGCGGCCCTTCCGTGGATTAATTTCCCCGCCAATTACCTTGTCGTTTTCAGTGCGTGTTTTGCTGTTCCACTCCAGCCATAATTACAACACAGGATTTTTCCTACACGCTCCTATGCATGTGAATAACATGCAGTGTAATTCTGCTTCTTACAGAAGTATTACTGGAGGTCTTATTTCCAATATTATTTGGTTTATTATACAAATCTTTTTATATACGCAGGCCCAGCCCTTCCGTGCCAATCTGTGCCATCCGGACAGTCTCTCTCAAGGGGCCTTTCGCCAGAGGGCACATCTGTTGCCTTTGCTTTCTCACGTTCAGGCCCGGTTCCCCTTGACAGTGCAGGTGCCGTTCCGAGCGGCGGTCCTGGGGCTTGTCATCCAAAACCAAAGTGAAACGGAGCATTTCTCATGACCTGGTATTGAAGTTACTTTGTGTCCCCAAAGCTGTATATCAGATTGTACTCCGTTGTACGCCCTTAGTAGTGGAAGGTATGTTAAGTGAACCAGTTATGCTGTATTTTTATTAATATTGAACACAATTAAATGTGGACCCCTGTGACCGGTCCCTGGGAATGCATGCTGTTCCTCACCCCACCCCGCCCCCAAGCACTCGTGCTAGGTTCTCCATGGTGTCTGCTGTGCACAAATGAATCTCAGAAGTAGTTCAGAGTCTGAGCTGTGTGCTTTCTGTGCACGCTGCGTGAGGGGACCTATGGCATATGGTGACGGGAGAGAGACTGTCAGAGGAGGAAGGGCTTCAACGTTATCAGTGACTCCCCACCAGAGGCCTCCTGTGGGTGTGAGTCAGGGTCCCAGGGCCGGCCCTGCCCGTAGACCAGCCTAACACGGTCGTCAGACATTTGGATTTGAAGATGGGGTGACCACAGGCAGGCCCAGCCCTTCTGTGCCAATGGGTGCCATCCAGACAGTCTCTCTCAAGGGGCCTTTCTCCAGAGGGCATGTCGGTTGCCTCTGCTTTGCTTTCTCACGTTCGGGCCTGGTTCCCGTTGATGGCACGGGTACTGTTCCAAACAGCCTCGAGCCTGTCATCCAAAACCAAAGTGAAAGGGAGCATCCTAGACTGTTGTCATCATGGCTGCTTCCTTCATTTCTGGGCCCAGGCCTGGCCCTGGGGACTGATTTTGAGACTCCTGGTGTCGCTGGGTGTGTGTCACTGTCACTAGGCCCTCAGGGTCCCTTGGCTGCACTGGGATGGGCAAGCCTGTGGGAGGAGATGGGATTGTCTCAAGTTTGCGGTTCTGGAGGCCTGGGGCCAGCATGGGCCATGGTTTTCCCCTAGTTCTGAAAAGACCACCCTGGGAGCGTCCCTCTCCCAGCACTGCTCCCCCTAGGGGTGCATTGTAGGCAGGGGGCCAGTGAGTCCGGACCTGGAAAGAGGAGGAGCCCATCTCTTGATGAGGGAGCCAGGAACAGCGTCGCTGAGCAGAGAAAATCCAGCCTGCGAGGAGAAAGGGGGCGGGTGGGACACAAGGGGGCAGGATGGACGGGTGAGTCTCCAGGATTGATTGATTCCCTGTCCCGGAGGCTTTCCGGAAACCCCCTCTGCTTTGTTCCCACCCCTACTTGGGAACCAGCTCGCAGGGAATGTAAGGACGCGGATCGTCTATATCTTCGTGTAAACCTCCCTTTGGAATGACCTCTTCCCAAATGCCCCTCTGTGGAACAGAAGCAGAGGCAGTGCTCCGGAGGAATTTCTGGTCTCAGCCCGCAGGGAGGGAGGGGGGGAGGTCTTGGGTGTGGGCGGTGTTTTCCTGATGCTCCAGAGATCTCACCCTGTGGGTAGCCACTCTGCATGCGGGCGGGCGAGGCAGATCCTGTAGAGACATGTAGGGAGAACCTCTTCCCAGAACCCGGGGCAAGGCTCTGGCTGAGCAGCTGGGAGGGGGCAGGCCCGCTGGTTGGGCCCCAGCAGCCTGAGCAGCAGCGGCCCTGGGGGAGCTGTATTACTGTCCTCCAGCTGCCGGAGCAAATTATGCCAAACTTAGGGCCTTAAAACGACACAAGTTTATTATCTGGCAGTTCTGGAGGTCGGAAATCCAAAATCAGCCCCATGGGGCCACGGCCAAGGTGTGGGCTCTGTTCCTTCTGGAAATGCTAGGGGAGAATCTGCCTCCTGGCCTTTTCCAGCTCCTGGAGGCCGCCCCCTTCCTTAGCCCGCGGCTCCGGCCTACATCCTCGGTGCAGCACCTTCAAATCTCTGACTCTGCTTCTGTGGTTAATGTCGCCCTTCTCTGTCACCCTCCCGCTCCTCAGAAAGACTCTGGTGATTACTCTGCTCGCCCCCCCCCCCCCCCCCCCCCCCCCCCCCCCCGGATAATGCAGGATCTTCTCCTATCTCAGGATCATGTCTGCAAAGGCCTTTTTGCTGTGTAAGGTGACATATTTATAGGCTCCAGGGACCCCGGTGTGGACATCTTCAGGGGTCATTATTCAGCTGCGCATAGGAGGCTGGTCCAGACCGCCAGTCAAGGGAGTGGGTGCCCTTGGCCTGTCCCTTGCAGCTGTGCCCTGTGGGGCCCAAGCAGGTCTGAGTGGGCAGGCGGCTGCCTAGCAGAGAACCAGACCTCCCAACGCGTCCGTCCTGAGACACTGTGTCTCCCTCTTCAGCAGGGCCCTGCGACTGGGGTGCTCGGGACAGGGTGAGGCCAGGCCAAAGCCCCACCTTTCTCCCAAAGTCAAAGTCATTCTTTTGTGTGTTTCTTCAAGTGAGCCCGGGGGCGTCCCTACCCCAGGTGGGACTGTCTCTCCATCTCTGGGTAAAAGTGATTTCTGAGCGCTGACAAGTTTTGTTTTTTCTTTATACTTTCTCAGTTCCCTAGGAGACCCACATCAGCTGCATGGGCAGTTTTGAGTTTCTGAAGTTCAGCTGTTTCCTAGTTAGTCATGCTTCAAGGGGAGCTGCTTCTGAAAGTTACAAAAATAGTTTGCGTAGTTTCTGGTCCCTGAGAGAGCCTCTGGGGGCCAGTGACCTCCATGAACTCATGCTCCAGGGATGGCATGGGAAGGCTGACTTCCAACCTCACTTTCATCGGCCATGCCTCATGGCCCCAAGCTGGACCCAAGTCCACAACCTCTACTCTGTCCCTGCTCCTGAAGCCCCGCCCGGGCAGTCTGGACCCTGTCTCCAGCCCTGCCCCCCCACCCCCCCCACCCCGGCCCCCTTCCATCTCCTCCCTTTGCCAGGCCAGCCCGGGCTCCGCTTGAGTCTTGGGCAGAGGGTGTGAAGCTACAGAGCAGCCTGGGTTTCGCCAGGGGCTGTGCAGATGGCTCCCCTAGATCCCGCTCGGGCCAGGGCTG